CCACACTAACAGCACGTTGCTACTGGTGACTTGGGAGCAGACATAGCAAATGGCAGGCGTTTTGATAGTTATTATTAGTCCTTTAGCTGATTTCGAGCTTCGCAGAAGGAAGGAACAGACAGTCACAAAAAGTGGAGAGTGGTTCACAGACGTAAAAGAGATAGATAGACACCAAGGCAGAGAAAAGATAAGATGAGCACTGTGGAAGAGGTCGAATATGGCATACAGTGGGGTCATGGTAGTTTGAAGTCAGAAGCCAACTGCTTGTTTAAAGACATTTTTGCCGTATGAGTATACATTGTTCAGGGTGCACCACGTGGAGGTAAGTCTATCGCACACTCCTAATGGAAGGAACGACTGTAGACATACTCACCTAAAAACCCAAGATGGAAACAGCGATTACTCTTGTACTCATATACCTTTCTTGGCCCTTATTTCTTTCAATCAACGTTAGCCTGTCCATAAGACGTTTCAAATACCTATTTAGATTGCACTTCTACAACACTGAATATCAAGAGGCTAAGATTAGAGCGCGCCTGTTCAGTGATAAGATCAATAGGCTAGTTGAGTCCTTTATCAACGTCACCTTAAAGAAACAGATTTATGTGAGGAAAAATACAATTTCCGAACGAATACCTCGTCTTTTAGTCATGCAATAAAGTAGTTTAAGCACACATTTCCTTCCGCATTGAAAAGAGAAACAATTAACGAAAAGGATCACAAGAGTACAGAAGTGAACTAATAAAAGTAAGGGACGTTGAAGTACAAAGGAAGCTAGGATTTAATTAAAAAGGATAATTAAATAGAGGCCTACAGTTATATATATCGAAAATTCAAACTTACATGGATAGTAACTATAAAACAAAACCCGACTTCAAGACTACTCTATTACGAGAGACATAAGTAAGTATCCAGGTGTCTGGAAAAACGGTTTGCTAACCGAGTGTGACCGACTTCCTCCCGGAGTCAATTGTACCTGCCCCGAAAATTCTTATTTAATTGAGACACTGTTGTCCAACGCTGCTCTCATGCGTAGTATAGAGGCAAAATTCGTGCTATATCATATTAACATTCGAACTTCTATAATAAATGACTTATAAAGCTCTAATGAATTTGTGGTAACTATGTGGAATCCTTTAACGCTCTTAGGATCGTGTGGTCCGCTTTCAAAATAAGCTCCGTTGGTACTAGACTCGCAACACAGAAGGCGCTATTGCCGTTTGAAGTATGCTCAATACGTGTCTACGAAGCCTTCGCTTGATACCCCACCAAAACTCATCACCTCCGCGTTGTCAGTCCGGTGTGAGACACGCGTAAGTGTGGTCGGGTGCATTTTTCAAAAAAAAAAATAAAACGGGGGTTAAAGGGTTAATGTTGCTTAAAATGCAGGGGCCAAAATTCGACGCACCTTCCCATAACTCCCACGACCAATAGTACCACCGAGTAGATATCGAATAGAGAGAATTTTGAGAGGTTTTTTGTACACTTGAGGAGTTTCAGGAGCTCCAATTCGATGACCACTAAGAGGTAGGGACGCCATCATTGAGGTGGCATCAACACTGCCACAGTTTCCAGGGGGTCTTCCGATAGGACTCTGAAATGCAAATTAGAAGGGCGGATAATTTGTGCTACGGTTACTCAAATGATTCCAGTATTAGCTGTGATAGCAATTATTAGTAATACGGATCTACAATGAGTTTTACGGGAAGAAATCAAAGAAGAGTCACTACCCAGAGCAAAGGAAAAAGAGCAGAAAGTTGTGATATTCAAGTCTGTAGAGCAACTATAAAGAGCAAGGCAGAAGTAAAACGAAATTTATTTACGACATATAGAGTGTTTGGGATAAATTTTACAGAATAATGTCTGATCGTTTTCTCAAAATGTGTTATAGGCGTCCGTGTACAGTGTTTCCTTTTACAGTTTAGAACCTTTGTTCGTGTGCGCGATGACAGGGGGAATAGATGACTGGAACCCACATGAATCACAAAAGATAAATCGCACAATGGTCAACAAAATGAGATTTTGCTCACTACTCAATGCATCCTGGACGCTAAGAAGAGAAACAGGCATGAAGTCTGTGATTGCACCACTGAAAGTTTCAAAAGCCGAAAAGTCAAGACCTCTTTCTGCTGAAACATCACCTTTCTCATAGAGTATCAGAGTTTTGAAGGTTGGTTTTAAAGGCAATTTCAATGAGGAATTGGAGCCGCTGTGACTAGAGGAAAGTATTATAACAGATCATCAGATCTAATTGCGCTTGCACAAAACAGACTTCCTCGATGATCTGCTTCAGAAGTGTTGGAGCACCCTGGCAATCGAATTCCGGCTATGTCGTTACAGTTAATTGAATAGTTCAACTTCTACTATGAAGTTTGCATTCAATGAAGATCCGAGCGTTTACGAATTTATGCGAGTGTCACAGAAGCCAATTTCTCACAGGAATGGCGAAGAAACTTCCGGGCTAACTGAAACGATGCTAAATAAGTGCAGTCTGGTTCCTTTCCAATAAGGATGCATCTGGCAAAGAGAAAAAGCCCAACATGCATTACAAGAGGCGGGTTGCAAACAGTTCAGACCAAAAATTTCATCAAGTTGTCGTGGTTTTCAGATTTGTGGCCGCCACAGCCGAGGATGACGCAGTACCCCTCCGCATGTTGTTTAGGGGGGGGGGGGTGGAGGGGTTATATTGATTGCAGTTGTCTACCTGGAATTGATGAACACTGTAGTAGCTAAGCCCAAATAACGAGCGAGGACGGCAATAATGAATAACGACAGCATGACTCGGTCGGCCCCCGCCCCACAATTCAAGAAAAGACAAAAAGCGATTATCAGCCTATTCTTACCACTGTACCAGTCCCATTGTACGCTTAATCTCCGAGCTACCTACATCTTAGCAAATAGCAATAGGAGAGCTATTCATTTAAGACCGAAGCATTTAGGAACACAATTGGAAATGTAATGCAATCTAAGAAACATCACATTTAAAGGTATTTATACAAATGTTATCCATTCCTTTAGCCGGAAGATTAATCCAAAAAGCTAGAAAATGTAAATGCACCACAAAGCCGTATAAACAAGAGGAAACATGGAAACGTCAGAGGATATACGCAACCAATGAAAACATTTCCCCTCAGGAGCAAAGCTATGCCGTAGAAGTAGTAGAACAACGCAGCACAACAACCCCAAGAAGACGTGTGTCCATGTGATCAGCTTGTATGACAAAAATAGCAACACACGCACCACGCCACGCCACGATTACAAAAATAGAGAGAGAGAGAGAAGGAAAGCACGTATATACAGTACAATACGCTGCGGAAGAGAGTGGCACAAAAACTGCTTCGTTATTGCCACCTGTAGGAACATATGATCTTGTGTTAATGACAAAAAAAGTGAGTCACACGTGCATCAAGATTTCGCTAATTTATCTCCCCACTCCCTACCCCTCCTCTTTTGTAAATAAAGCCAAACGGTAGTTAAATTAGAAGCCAATGAATGCAGGTAAGTCTCCTAGAAACGTCGGATTAAATAGGCGGCTAGGGTTAGTGGGTATTCTAAGATATCATTACAGTAGGATTAGGAGTCGCAAGCCCCTTCTCCCTTAGAAATTTCCTCACAGTCAGGTTATAAAGACAGAGAATGTGGTGGAAAGTTTCCTAAGTGGTGAGTGAGAGAAGCTCAATACACGGAAAATAGTAGGTAATGGATGAGTTGATTTGAATTCAAGGGAAGGAGATTGGCTGCGGGTAGACACCAAGGTCTAGCTAAACAAGACCATCTGGATCTAGTTTAACCCAAGACATGTTTAATTTGCTAAAAATTAAAGGAAAAAAACTTTATTAAAAGATCAACAACGGTTGAGAAAAACTATCAACGATATGACAACCAAGTGAATTGTAAATTGAAAGATAATAATGAGAGGTAATTGAATAGTTATCGAAGAGAGTTTTAATTAGCCACAAACTTTATACCTTTTGTTGTCATATAAAGAGAAGACACCAACCAATAGCGTAAAGTTGTGCTATTTGACCAAAATTGAAAAATATGCAAAATTTTGCTTTTGAAAAACCCTCATATCATTCAATCTTCTTATTCCACTAAGCACTCTCGAAGGTCTCAAACCTAATCAGAAGAAATCCCTCAACAAAGTAGTTGAATGTACAGGTTTTGAGTAAGGAAAAAAAGGATCGTCTATGTGAAAACTCTAATAAAGAAACAAAACGCGTTGCAATAGACCAAGAAAGTAAAACCTACTAAAACGGGAAATCTTTCGAAGGCTAACTGTTGTCATATCGAAACCCAAAAAAAAATATTTTGAGAAATGAAGTTATGAATTCAAATTGGTACCCTTGTGGAATGATTTCAACCACGCAAACTAGACAAATAGAACCAAGCCGAAAAGAAGATAAACACGCAAATAATACAAAAGAAAGCAAATGAAGAGATGCTCCTATTTGTAATTGACTCCTGAAGACATTTAATGGGCAATCAATTCATGACCGAGGAATGTTGATCCCTCACTGATTTAAGGACGAGCTTTCTTTGATGCTTGAAACTTCCGCAACGGATTATTCATTTAGTATCTCCGCGTAGTTCAAAGCGATCGAACCCCTTGCTTTTGGCCTATCACACGCGACTGCCAAGCCAGCGGTCACATACAAGTTAAATTATTTACTTAAGCAGCTAAATATGCGCTTGCACTTAAACATAAAATGGAAGCTACAACACATCAGCGCGGTAACGTTTGCAGTGGAAGTATAAACTCCAAGCCACCTAACCAAACTCCAAACCTTTACCACCTAAATAATTCTCACAGTAAAGTCTGAAAATGCATGCATTAAAACACAGTTGCAGATATCTGCTTTGTTCTGGTTTAAAACTCATGAGAACTTTTGGAAGTAGGATGGGAAACAAACTTTTATGAAACTGACATTCAATGCTATTTTTATTTAGCCACATAGTCTAAAACTCGGGCTTTAACTAGCCTCGAAACAAAGAGATAACAATAACGACACGAACTTGGGTGAATTCTTTTAAGAAAAGTGACGCCTGAAATTTTACTCGCACTTAAATACATTTGACATTCAGTCGAAAGGTACACAACATCCTCTCCAATTCACGTCCTTGACTTGAAGCTTCACTAATCTCTCTAATCGAATGAAGCTAACAACAGTGCATGTCAACACAGTCTCAGTGGTTCTGTAGCTACAATCTTTCGATGAAGAGCTTCTCCAGCCAAGTCCAGAAGCTGGAGGAAAAGTACATTTAATGATTGCGACGAATCTCATGTTTTCTGATATTAAAAATTTAAAGTACACATACCTAGATACAAAATGAAAGACAATGGGAATGTTAAATATTCTGAGAATAAATTCATAAGTGCATATTTGAGGAGTTGATTTAGCAAAAAACCATCACCATCGGAAAGCATTTCACATGTATGCTCATTCCCATAAAATGGTCTGACTTTGAGTTGACATTCCAATTAACTTTTTGAAGAATTCTACCCATAGAAGCGAAGAATCTGCATTCAAAAGCGAATATGAAGGAGTGGGGAAGAAAGCAAGTCTTCTATGCAAGAAATTTGAAGTTAAATTTCGACTCCTCTTAACTATCAAATATAAAAAAATGCAAGAAACGATCAATTCATGACCCCAAACCCAATAGGTATATGCACTTAAAAATTCCTGAAGTGGAAAATGTCCCTACTCATAGTTCACATGGCAAGCAGATAATCTTAAGTAGAATAAACCAGAACAATGGACTCTTCTAATCATATCATGAGTATCCAACAAGGAAGAAAAATGATATTAGAAATATTTCTTATTTAAAATGAGCTAGAGAAAGGAAAGAAAATTGCTACAAAATCCGCTCAAATACCCAACTCGATAACACCTTGATATGGGGTGTGCGATAAACTTACTCCCACGTGGTGCACCCTGGGCAACGTATACTCAAACGGTAAAAAAGTCTGTTAACCGGGATTTGTCTTCTGACTTCTAACTACCATGGCCCGACTGCTTGCCTTATTCGACCCCTTCCACATTACTCATCTTACCTTTAACTCTACCTTTGTGTCTGTCTGCCTCTTTTACATCTGTGA